ATCTGCACCCTTCCTTCATGATTCGGCATCTTGCTCAACGCTCCCTGAAGGAATTTAGACGCTCGGTCGTTGCCGATGAACAGTGGGAATCTTTCGGAGTTGATGTGCAATTGCTCTGTCTCCCATCGCAGCCTCTGCATCTCAGAATCAGGAGATACGTACCGTTATGCCACCTCTACTCCCTCCAAACGCAGTCAGATTCCCAAGCCATGGCGATCCGCTATTCATTACCAGTCGGTGTTTACAAATCGGCTCAAAAGGCAACGACAAGAAAATTCAACAAGTATCTCAACGAAATGATCAACAACCATTTGCCAGATTACGCAAGTTTCATGCACAATCTCCGTGGGTTCGACCACTCAAGTAGGACTCTCGAAGTCTTGCTCTTATGCTTCCAACAATGGAAAGACAAATCAATTAACAACCCCGAATACCCACCCCGAGATTTGCTCCTCATGGAAAATGCGATAAAACTCATCCTCATTCAATCTATTCTTGGCCTAGGTCTAATCCTCGAATCTATTCCAGCAGCATTCTCGAACTCCCCCTTCCCCTCCCCGACTGGTCCGCAGCTCGCCTTCCCAGACAACCAGATACCTCGTCTCCTCAACCGCCAAATCAAAACTATCTTCTTCGCTATCTACAAGAGGCTCCTTTTGCAAGTACTTACTGGCTTCAAGGCCCTAGCATCAAAAAGAAAGTCATGGAGTACAAGTGTTTTCGTGGGTATTTGTCTGGCATTCTTACTCGAGAGAATTGAAGCCGGGAGTCAGGAATATCTATTTTTCGCAAAGAGCATTTATAAAGATGAGGAGGGCAGTCTTGGAGATGCAGAAGGGTACAGTAGAGAGGTTGAGAGCGTGGTTTTCGACAGGATATATCGGATTTTGGGGGCGGTGGTCAAGATGAAGCCGGACGGCGCCAATGCTATGGCTCTGGAGTTACTCGACTCTTTAAGGTGGCTGAGAGAAGGTTTTAGTAAGTTTTCCTCTCTCTGTTGTTTTGTTGCACGAGGGCTAATTTGCCATGACAGAGGATGAAGGACACCAAATACAATACGCAGAAGTGCGGGCCCCTCACTCTTCTCGCCTTGTTTCGGCACTTGTTGATTTGGTGCTCTACACGGAAGCCCTGATATAAAGCTTCAATTCATGTTCCATTTAAAGATACCAGGGTTATGGGTCATGTTAAGTTTTGTTTGTATATATAAACCGGTAATTTGGCTGTCAGGTTTGCGAAGGAGATATCGAGGAAGGATTGACGGTCTGGGAAGAAATGATACACACATAAGATTCCCTGTTCAACGTACCAGCATCTATGGCATTCTTTTCCTACACTGCTTGCAAGGGACACCACTAACTGTAGGCAGTCACGTGTGCTGTGAGGCTGCAGGCCGAGGTCACCTGTCAAAAATGCTGTGGCGCTTTCCTAGCGCCAGACGAAACTAGCTTTAAACCCCGATTTTTAAGTCAGGGTATGAACTTACACTTTCCTTTTGTGATTACGACTTTACCACCCACCGATTGCTTAAGAACTACAAATCCAAACGCTAAGCTATATAGCTCAAATTAGTAGCGCAGTGTGAAAACTCTACTTATTATTAAGAGTGTGTGTTTTGGTCGCAGCGTGGCAGAGCTGACAACCAGAAACGTACCATTCCCCGCCTAATCAAGTAATGAGGTAATGACTTGGCATATCCAAAGTCGCGAAACTTCGAACCGCTCCAATTGAAACAGCGGTCGCTTGGAAAATAGAAGAAACATATTTGAGACTTAATCACATGATCTACTCGTTCAACAGCAATGGCCAACCTTTGTGTAGCCTCAGAAGGCTGGAGTTTGAGGCTGCCTAAGTCGGCTGAATTTTGGAACCTGAAATTGAGTTAGCAGTTAAGAATCCTTACTTATGGCAAATGAAGGGTTCTTTGAACCTCATCACTGGCCTCGCTCGGATTCGAGGGGTTTTGAGTAAAAATTTGAGAGAATCCCTAGTCGAGCTGGAGGTAGGAAAAGTAGCCAGGTGTTAAGATTATATTTCTGTTGGCACAATTCGGGAGCATAGATGGTGACAGAGGGCTGTTGGTGATTGAAGCTATCTCGAGATGGAATAGCTGTCAGTAACGAGCTCGCCCGTCGAGAACACTAAGCCTCATCTGGTACAGGGTCCGTGCTCCGGACCACGGCCCGCGGTTTTCGGCCGCGCATGTGGAAGCTTTCCTGAGACCTTTATTCTAGCTGAAGCATATCAGAGAGTTTCAATTTTGCAAACTTCTACTCTCCACATCCAATATCTCATTAATTGGGTCTGGCAAGTCCGGAATGGCTGATTAAAGCCCTCATGCAAACTTGACGAGGCCAATCCATCAAGCCCAAGTCTGCCTAGCAAGCGCAGAATTCAGCCTCGTGAGGCGGAGCTTCAGAGGACAGCAACCTTCTCTATCGTTCAACCTCTTCGTAGACCACATTCTGGAGATATTGATGCTTTTTATGACGCAAACAATCATCGTTTGAATCGTCCCTGTTATCAGCGGAGCTGACCAGCGTGGACGAACATGGACGGGCTCAGCCTTGCTGCCAGTGTCATCTGTCATCCAACTTGCCGGATCATGTCTGAAGCTGTCCAGAAAGTTTCTAGGGCCTTCTGAATTCGGCTCTTCGCACCTGAACTCTATGGCAATCGCTTTCTATGGATTCAATGGAGCAGTGAAAACTTTCCAAACACACCTCGCGATCTACGAAGACGACGAGGCGCGACTCAGCAGTCTGGAATACCTCAAGCCCTCACTCAAACAATGTGAAGAAGCGCTGTATATTATCGAAGATTTCGTGGGGAAGAGCAGCTTTATTGGGAAGCATATTACAGGACCGAGGTTTGATTACAAGCTAAAGACGTCGCTGAAGGCTTTGGATGGAGCCAAAGAGCTATTTATGCTAGCTTTGCGTGCCGACCAACAGTGTGCCCCTCTTCCCCCTTCCCCCTTTTCCTCTTCTATAATTTCCCTGTTTCTAATTTATCTTTTGGCCAGAACGATTCTCCACGGAGTAGAACGATATATTCGTAATGTCGCAGAAGACCTTCGAGATATCCACGACGTCGTCAGGAACAACGAAACGAAGCTAGAAGTATTACATCTAGAACACAGCGAACATTTCAAAAAGGCTGGTGAGTGGCAAGAGGAGACTATTGACAGTCTGAAAAGACTACACGAAGATGGAGACATATCATATCAAGAGGTTAAGAGAGTGAGAAGAATGCAAGAAGAGTGCCAAAATTATGAGGAACGCAAGGCTATCTTCGATTGGCTCACTCCAATCGACTATGCTGCTCAGCAGAATGACTTTATAAGTCGGCGGCAAGAAGGAACCGGTCAATGGCTTCTTGAGTCGGCAGAATTCCGCACGTGGGGAGAGACCGATAAGCAGACATTGTTCTGCCCAGGAATTCCGGGGGCAGGGAAGACAATTCTCGCGTCGATTATGATAGAAAAGCTCTCTACTCGCTTCCACAATAACAAGAGCGTTGGCATAGCGTACATATACTGTAACTTCCGACGGAAAGACGTACAGAAGGAGCAAGACTTACTCGCAAGTCTCCTAAAACAGCTAAGCCAAAAGCAGTCTCCCCTTCCAGACAGTGTAAAGTCTCTGTACAATAAGCACAAAGAGCGGCGGACGCGCCCGTCCCTCGACGAAATTTCGTATCCCAGGTAGTACGCGCGGGGCAGAAAATGGAACCTAAATCGCCAATCGCATAACTTAAAAAGCTGCCCCCTGAACATTTGTGTGAGGGGTTCCTAAAATCACAACTGATTCTCTCCCTTTCGCCTTCTCCTCTTTCCCAGCCATATCTTCGTTGACGGCCGTTTGGCGTTATTTGTACAGCTTATCTACAAGCTTCCATAGGCTTCTCGGGGCTTAACATTAGTGCACAGACGCTATAGGCATCGCTAAAGGAGTTGTTGCTTCAGGCTATCAAGCCCCTAAGTGCCGTTGCTCTGCCAGACCTATGTGGCGTCGCATGCGGCCGCGCCAACCTCTGCCAGTTGCAAGACTTATGGCCGCGTCCTCCGTAGGCCAACTGCTCACGGCGCCCGGGATCAACGTTAACGCGGCGCATAAGGGCGGATGAACAACATTGAAACGCGGCTTCAGATGGCGGGCACGTCAACGTCGTCAAGCTACTGCTCGAGAAGGGAGCCGCTACCGAGTTGAAAAACGACTGTGGCCAGACTCCGCTGTCGCGGGCCGCCGAGATCGGGCATAAGGCAATTGTCAAGCTCCTGCAATAAAATGCAAGTGACGACGATTAAATGCTCAGACACATCGCATGGAGGGAAAGGAAGGGGCACAAACTCGGATGACCTACTATCAGGGCAGACGCTACTCGCAGCAGAGGGCATGCGTGGATATGACTGCTGCAGCAGAGTTTAGAAAACGTAAATTGGCACATAACGAATCAGATTATGGCCTACAAAACCTCCCGGAAGGCACGAATTATCTTTGGGCCTAGGAGGTCGAAACCTTATTGGTTTTGGCATGGGGGAACTGACGATTGGCTTGCCGCTATTCGGAAATCCGACTTTTAAGGAATCTGAGTCTGAATCCCGTGGAAGTAATACGGAGCTCGCCAAATTAACTAAGCGAGATACACAACCTCAAAACCAGTGTGACGGCAGGAACGGAGCAGAGGTCGTAAGCCAAAGATCTCAATTTCAAGGTCTAACTAAAACTTAAAGTTAAGGAGAGAAGAGAAGGTCGAAGGAAGAGAAGTTCTTAAGCTGTAAGCCTGAGGCCTGCTCCCTTAGCTTGAGACGTCGTCGCATCGCCAGACGTCGGATCCTCAGCCTGAAACCAGTAGTGCGGCAAGCATGTGACGCGTGCCGTCACAACCAGCCAAAAAAGATCGAGGGTTCGAAAACTCAAACCCAGAAAAAGGGGGTTTAAAAACATAAAAAAAGGTAATAAAATATCGTATACTTAAACCAGGGTGAAAAATTTTGTTGCGTTCGCCGGGAATCGAACCCGGGGCCCATCGAAGTTGCTAATACTTGCCGTATTTGGCAACGATGGATTTTACCACTAAACCACAAACGCTGTTGGATGTCGGAAATAGGCTTATTAATAATTATAGTACTGACTGCTCCACCCGACTCCGGGATGGGCCTAGGCACGTGACGGTCTCGACTGGCCGTGCGTCATGGGTATTGTCCGCTGCATGTAACCTATTTTATGCCCAGTGGTCAGTTTATCACGAGTCGTGAGGGATTTTCTTAATGTCACCTCGAGAATCCAAGAATTTATGGGTTGGCGAAACTGGAAGCTTGCCCTCATGTCCCCTGCAACAAGTGTTGGTATATCGTAAGGCACCAGTCAGATTCCTGACCAGCCTCAGAACCAACAATCTTATATGCATCAACGCACTCACCCAAGAGTCAAAACAACGCGGTTGAAGTGGTCGTGGCTCGGAGATCAGTTTGCTGATTCCAAAATCTGCATTAAGCTTGAGCGCCTGTGCTGGCCGACCACATTCTGCCTTCGTCCTTCGTATCCTTCGCTGTTCTACTGCTTTCCCCCAGCCTCAACGGCACCTCCACCTTGCATCATGTCGCCCAGTCTACAAGATCTCCCAAATGAGGTCATCGAGAGCATCGTCGCACTTTCAGACTTAGGGGATATTTGCAGCCTCCGACTGTGCAGCCGACCCCTGGCCACGAAGGCTACACAAGTTCATTTCAAGTCCTACTTTCTCTCGAGGCATGTCGACATCATAGACACCTCTCTTCGGGCATTTGTTCATCTCACACAACCTGGCTGGCTAGGATGCCTCATCCAGCACCTGGTGTTGGTCGGCGTGATTAACAACACCAGGCCCCGGGAGGCCGACTTAAGAAAGAATTCTGGATCTGAGGAAGCAGATGACGATAGAGAATCGGTGACCAAGGCTCAACAAGACCTGGATATCCTCAAGCAGCGACAGGTAGATTTCCAGCAGATGCACGCTTCCTGGAACCGACGTGAGCTTAATCAGCGAAGCGTTCAGAAATATTGCGGCAAATGGCGAGATAGGGAGGCTGGTCTCATTGTCTCTCGAAGTGGTGGTCTATTTTGTCGATGCTGAGAAAAGGATCCGTCCTCCTTCCCGCGTCCGCGGCGTCTGGGGACTTATCTGGAAGTCTACAACCCGTACATTCCACTCCGCAATACGCTCGTTAGCTTTGAGTCAGCTGCCGATTGAGAAGCTCAATATTTTCAACGATCGCCAGTTACAAGGCTGCAGCCTAGCTTGCAATGAGCTTGGCCGTATTAATTTCGAACAAAAGGGACTCGCCATTTCCCTCGCATTATTGAAGTCACTATTAGTCAACTTTTCGGACACAGTTATCTATCGGTCAACATAAAGCGCAGGCCTTTTATATGACCCGACCAAGGAGCTAGACTGGGAGATAGATACATAGGCAAGGGATTGTGATGATTCAGAAGCAAGCGATTCTGATGATTCAGAGGAAAGCGATCGTGATGATTCGATTGCAGATGCAGAAGACGAGCACAAATTCATTGGGCCTTGCCAGGCTTTTGCAACTGAGTAGCCAACTGGAAGACCTCGCATTGCATCAGTGTGTTCTACGCCAGAAAAACTTAAGACATCGTGGGAGATTATTCCAGCACATAGCCGAAATGCACACGCCACCAAAATTGAAGCGATTAGAGCTTCGCGGGCTCGCTATGGAAGAACAAGACTTACTTCTTGTCATCCAGAGGACAGGCGTTCGCGAGCTATCCATGTACAACACAGCCTTGTCCTTAGGAACATACAGATCCATCTTGGACTACTGCACCGGCAATGAATCCGGCATGGAGAGATTGTACTTTCTAGATCTATTCGAACAACATTTACGGGTATGTTTCCAAGGGCCTAAACACGGTTTGGCTGAGCCCTGGTTTACCGGTAGTTTTGACCCTCATGAATTTAGTAGTGACACGCTTGAGAGGAGGGGCGCTGATATTCAGCATCGGATCTCATATCAGTCTGCGCCAACTATATTGAGGATCCTAGTGCATCTCTCCGAGTGTAACGGGCGCTGATGATAGAGTATGGACCACTTACTTGGTGGGGTTGATTCCATGGCTCTTCTTATTCTTGTCAAGAGCCTGGCCCCTGAAATTCTCTCAGCTAAGAAAATTCCTGTTAAGGAAAGCTTTCCTCTCAATTTTATTGAATAGGCCATGATCCTGAGCGGCAATACTTCCATGACATGCAAGACTCAACAAAGTTGTTTCTGTCAACGTTCAGTTTGCACATTTGCGGAGTACAATCCAGCATCTATGCGTTGCCCGATCAACTCAATCCATTCATTTCATAATGGACCCCATTTATTGCGGATGGTACGCCGAAAAGCTTGCTGCTCTCTCACCTGTCGAATTCAAACGGTTATTCGAAAGTACTGCTTCTCGCGAAGAATGGAGATGTAAGGCGCTAGTAATATGACAATTCGGCACTGTGTCACTAGAACCTTTGCTACTGCTTCTCTTCTTGCGAAAGCTAGTACTGCGGCCAGAAAGAGGTACATGACTAGAGTGACGGAGAGGAGGTCCACGAAACCAGAGAAGCTTGAAGTAAGACAACGTGGTTCCAGGGAGGGCAACCTTGGTGGTCTCTGATGAGTGTCCGACTGTCCGTTGATCTGGAAAGTGGGCATGTCACAACCGGCGCGATGATGGAAGTGACTGAACTTGATAGCTATCTAAAATTTTGTGGAAATTCAAGAGGGACAAGAAAAACTCGAAATGGTCATACTACAGTAAAGTTTAGGGGTATAGCGGATGACTGTATTTCTTTTCTCTGGTTCTACTAGTTTCATCTATACCTACCGAGTGGACTTGCAAAATTTATTGTTCATCTATATAACACTCTACTGCAGGTCAACTATACCTCCAAAAACTGTCTTCTATACCCATACACCAGTGCAGGAGGCCCCTCAGTACTTAATGCTCGACATTTCCATTTGATCCTAAAGTTAAGTCTTCTTTTTCGGCAACGTCTTAGCCTCTCACGATTTAAAATAAGGTTAAATCCGCCACAGGGTCTCCCTTCACCCCTTTCCCGAGCTGAAGAGTACATCCCCACATACCGCTGACGGTTGTAGCTTTAAGGGAGGAGTCGATCGGCTCCTGTAAATAAGTAGAACAAGGCGAAAGATTAAGGGACAAAGAAGGTCAACGCTTGGAACTCGCTCTGTTAGAAGTCACCTTCCGAAGTACTCAGACGAATATTTTTTTTTCGCCAACTTAGTTGAGATATCTGCATGATGGTTTATAAGATGCACCTTTAAAGCTGAGTGTGATAACTCGAATGGTCAGCGAGGGGTGGGAACAATGGAAGTGTTTCCTCACAAGAAAAACTACAAGATTTGTACTTGAATACTCAAAAATCGCCTAGTGCATATCATCAGTTCACGTTGAAATATACGTATACGGAGTCTGTTTCTGATATATTAAATGTATTCTAGGTATACAGTCGCTCTGTAAAGTCATGAGACCTAGGGTAGCTGACCCCTGCTTTGGCTCGCTTAAAGTGCTGGATTGTACCTGCCCCGGCGCCCCCGCTTGAAGGATTGCGGCTGTGACGTCGTGGCTGATAGCTTCCATCCTCCAACTTCAAACTACCACAACCCCTGTACAATGACTTGAGAAAGTTATGGCAGGCAGATCAGAAATGGCTGCGCTTAGTCTCTACATTGTAACCTTTAACTGCGGGCTCACGCTAATCGACACGGATGCCTTCGCATCCCAACTTTTCAGCGGCCTCAACTCATCCAAACTGCCCGACGTCCTCGTCCTCTCCCTCCAAGAAATAGCGCCTATACCTCTCTCCCTAATCGGCGGATCATTCCTCGTCCCCTACTTTGAGAGGTTCTATCATGCTGTGCAAAAGGGTTCCCGGAAGGCAGCGAATGCCACGGACAATGCGCCAATATATACACCGATAGCAGCTCGGAATCTGGGCGTGACGGGAATTATGGTATTCGCCAAGGACCCTTCGTGCATCGAAGATATAGAGACTGGAGGTGTAGGAGTAGGCATATGGGAGATGGGAAACAAGGGAGCAGTGGGCGTGCGGTTTACATATCACCAAGGTCCCGCCTCAACAGAGTTGACTTTCGTGGCCGCGCATCTTGCTGCGATGGAGGGAGAGCTGCAACGGAGAAATGAGGACTGGAAGAATATAGTCCGAGGCCTCGTGTTCTCCTCCAGTTCCTCTAAGCGCAAAACAGAAGATACATCCCTATCCGGAGAAGAGCGACCCCTCCTGTCCATCTCCCCCCGCAACGCTTCAATTTACAAACCCACGTCTCACCTCTTCGTAGCAGGGGACCTCAACTACCGTACCTCAATCCTCTCTCCCTCTCCAACCGACCACATCGACGTCTTCCCACAACCCCACCACACACCCGATTCCTCAAACCACTTCTCCTCCCTCTTCGAATCCGACCAACTAAACCAGGAACGAGCCGCAGGACGAACGCTCCACGGCCTCACCGAAGCCGAGATAACCTTCCCGCCGACCTACAAATACAACTCCGAGGAGCCCTTCCTAACGCCCGACAACGAGTTGAAGAAATGGCCGTGGGCTAAACACCGTTGGCCGAGTTGGTGCGATCGGATCCTGTACCTGCCTCTGCCGGTATGGGTTACACGCTCCCAACCTTCCTTGGCTATTACCACGCACAAATATACTGCTCTCCCACTATTCCCGACCTCAGATCATAGGGCTGTGACGCTCGAGCTTTCGGTCCCGATCGTATCTATTCCTGCACCCGTGGAAGAGGAGGGAGATGATCCAAGGATGAAGCCGCCGTTTGAGATTAATGTTGATTGGAAGCGGAAGCGGGAGAGAGCGAGGCAGTTGGAGTTGGTGGTTGGGTTTGCGTTGTATTTTACGAGCACGAAGGAGGGTGGTGCTGTGGCTGTCGCGGTGCTGGTTGGTGTTGTTGGAGCATATTTTGCTATTAGGGCTATGGTAGAGATGTGAGCTAATGGCAAGCTTACCTTATGGATAGATGATTATGAGATCTGAAGAATTAAGGGTTACTTCA